ATAGTAGGACGTGCCTGAACAACCGTGGGTCTTCAGTGGCTCGTCCACCCCTCAACTGCTCATTCAACTGCTATTCTCTGAAAGGTCGAATCAACAGCCATAGCGGTCCGAAGTACCAATGAAGCGCGTTCAGTCGCACGAAGTCGCTTGACCAAATCAGTCGAGTCACGAAGTACGAGCGAGGCATAAGGAGGAACGACGCGCCCATAAAAATGCTCGACAGCTCTTCTAAATCCGACCATATCGTAAGGCAGCGTTCAGACTTCGCGACGGCAGCGCCTCGGTTGCGCATTTGACGCGATATCGATGCGCATGCTGTAGACGGCATCAAGCGCGACCGTATCGCTGCCGTCGCGAAGTCTGAACGCTATCTAAACGCGAACTGCGCCTCCATGACGCGTTTCAGTTGTCATAGCTAAACCTCTTCATTCAGTTTCGAGTTGAAAATGGGTGACAGTAAGATAAGTTACTATAAACCTAATAAGGATGAGATCTGAAATGAATTGTTGCCGTTCAGGATGCGTTTCTACTGCCAGGACCGCAATTAACGCCGTGTACGGCACTGCCGGAAATTGACCTCACCAAATGGAGGCTACAGTAGTCAACTTAGGTATGAGATGTAGCTGTATAGTAAGTGTCGAAAGGAAAAAAAGACATTCCATGGATGGTCACATCGCAATCACCTCACTCACTCATTCGCATTCTCGTTAACGTCGTCCATCTATCGTATACCGTATTCTGTAACCAGGTGTTCTGCACTATTGCGTTCACCTGCGTATCATTGCGTACTGCCGATCCTCGTCGCTATCGCTGCTTATTCGCGCTCTCAGTTGAGACCACCCTCGAAATGTCCAGCGGGGTGGTCTACTCTTCCAAATACTGGTCTAATATTGCCAAATGTCTCTCTTGTTGTGTGTTGTGTTATTTTGAGTTATTCCATTCGTGATCATATAGAGGAAACCATCCGAAACCATTCGTCGGTTGTCGATAGGGCCTTATCTTCTTCACTTCCGCATCGCCTCGATTTTAGCTTCCATACTTGATATATGTTGTATATAACATCACCACTGCTAATAAAGATACATGTTCGTAAATGTTGTTTACCTAGAGCTTCAAAGAGGTATTCGCGGACTGTGTGGTTGATTGTGTGGGCGGAGACAGTCAACCATTGCGCCTTTCTCATTGGTGGACTCCACCTTTCGAGATGGTGAGGAGAAAGTGCAGGCCAGTGAAAAAAGCGCCATCTTTGCGATTTTACCCGTACCATAGAATCGATGCAAATCTGTTCTTGAAACCAAGAAAGGAAATGAAAAAGAAACGATAGCCGTCAGCAGGAAAAATAAACACATAGCAAACATCAATGCTCTCAAAGCTGCTGCCAGGGCCTAAATGAACACTCACCACATGACCTAATGACTTCCAGCTCCAGAACCTGCGAATGCCACTCGCCAGCGCGGCCTTTCAAAGCACGGTCCGCGGTCAGGTAAAGAAGAGAGATCCACGCCAAGAGCAGCCTATCCATGTGCCATATCCAGCTGCAGTTTCCTGCCGTTTTCTGGGCTCAAAGTGCACCAGAATGGGTCAGGGAGTAGGACACTCGGATGCCGTCTAGATACTC